TGTAATTATTCACCTGTAACAGACGTTTTTGCCGTTGACCGTATTTACACTATTTTATTATTATTGTTGTCGATGATTAATTATTATTAGTTCTTTGTGCCATGTCGCGAGGGGTTGTGGGACGCGGGTGCCATTATCAACTAGTGGCACGGAAGGGTGCATCCCATTTAATATTTGAAATTAAATACATTTGAATTAATTATCAAAATTACACCATGCACATTCTAACGAAATAATATTATGTGACTCACCAAAGTTCAACAAACTATTAGATTACATTGTAAAACACTTTTTTTATACACCAGTTTACGAATATTATTTAAAATAATTATTCTATAAATACTTATTCGTTTATTCAAAACCCAATAAGAAAGATAACATTTCGATGTATCTTTCCTCTGATTACTGTAAGTTCCATACTTGTATTTATTTTTGGTTTTCTTTATTCATTATTAAGTCACTAGAACATAAACACTTGTATTATCATACCATTATTATCAATAGTGATTTTCGGGACACCATAAAATAAAATAACTTTATATTAAATCGTGATAAAAGGAGAAAATCAATAATATGAAATACAATTTTTTAGATATTGAACAAACATTTGTGGCTAACGAAATCGATTTTCTGAGCGAATAATATGGTTTATGTAATTTATATTAATGATAGAAAAAACCCATTAGATCCCGTGGTCTCCGAAATCAGATTTTACCGTCATTGTAGTGCTAAATGATTATATAAAAACCATTATGACCGATCGAGGGGGGAAAACACCCTGAAAATGAAAATATTATTTCAAGCCATATCCTACCTGTATAAATCGCCAGGTGTGCAATGCTCCTTTAACGTCGTGTCGCTCGGCTGTTATCGTGCCGCGTTAGCGTTAATATATATTATTATGTGTATTTTAACGTAATAAAATGTAATAATTTATACCGTAATCACGCGCTCGTCCAAAAGCGTATGTCGTAAATTAAATGTTTATAGCCCGAATATTATAGACCATTAATTATTTATGTACGCGCTAAGTAATTACCAAAATAATGGTATTTTACCGCGGGTACAATTCATTTTCGAGTGCGCCAATATCGAGATAATATATTGCGATATCGAAATATTCATCGATCCGGAAATGTTCGCGATACCGACTACGTTGAACCGATCAAAATACCGAGTGCTGCATGTTGTATAGAATTGGTGAAAACGACAAAATATATTACGATCAGTTTTCCAAACGAACGTCGTCAAGACATATTGTTTTTTTGAACTATTTTGGTTGCTCGCACTCAAAATAAAGTTGCTCGACAAGCTCTTCCGTTTACAATAACAACAATAATGTAATTTTAGATTATTATCATATTAAGAAATTAAATATAACTTTCAAAATTAATTAAGTTTAATTACGTGAATACGTATAATTCTTCATATACAGCCCCGGCTTCTCTAGGTTAGGGAGTCAAAACGCCGTGGAAATATAAATAACTTTAAAAAAAAAATTAAAATTTTTCGCGTGTGGAGGACCAAGAGTTATGTGTAAATCCGTATAATTATTACTAGTATATAAATATAACTTACTTTAAATTATTTTTAAAATTTTTAAAATTAAAATTACTCAACATTAAAATTATAAGCGTAAATAAGAAAAAAAATCATGATATACGAACTTGAAAACTTGCAAAAACCATTAAACTAAGAACATTAGTAAAAAATAGGAAAATGTGTAATAATATAAATTCAACAAACAATTAAGAAAAATTATACAAACAATTTAAAAAAAGGTGTTTTATAAAAATAGGTTAGTGTTAAAATTATATAGAAGCCACTTTGTAAAGTATATCTTAAACCTATGTAGTGGTAATGTGTGTAGGTGTTTTGGTATTAAGATTAGAATTTTTGTACCGACAGATTCATACTGTTTTCTTGTACCAGTTTTGCTAGGACAGTGCGTTGTATAATGATCCTTAGCGAACCTGGTATAAACATTATGATACACAGGTAATGGGACATTATATTTTTTTAAGAAAAGGACTACTGATTTCAAATACAAGCATTTGATATTTAGAACATTAAATTCTTCATATAGTTGTTTTGTATGGTATGTTTTATTTTTATTTAAGGCGATCTTAATTAGTGTATTTTGACTAGTTTGCAATCTAGAGAGAGCGTTATCGTAAGATCTTCCCCTGCCTATTATTCCGTAAGAAATTATTGGTTCTATCAGTGCCAAGTAAATTAACCTTAAGTCATTCTTATTTAGGATATTTCGAAATTCTCTCATTATATAAATTATTTTTCTGGTTTTTTGTGTTATTGAATTTATTTGTTCATTCCATTTCATGTTTGAGCACATTTCTATCCTAAATATTTAAAGTTATTCATAATGTTTATTTTTTTACATTGGCAATGCATATCGTAGTTATTACATGTATCATCGTGTAGTATGAAAACTTGTTTGTTTGGCAACGTATTTGTTTTCCATGAATATAATAAAATAACGGTTTTGTAGTAGTTTAAAAATAGATTGTTTGTTATAAGCCAGTGTTCTATGATTTTTAGATCTTCCATTATAGTTTTAAACACCACTTCCCACTTATTTTCAGAGCAAATTAATATGGTGTCATCAGCATAAAAAACTAAGGTAGTTCTTAAGGGTAAGTCATTTAGTTGTATATTGAATAATATGGGTGAAATTGTCGTTCCTTGCAGTACCCCACATTTTATCTTCATTTCATCACTATGTGTTTTGTTAATTTAACTAAACAAACAAGACCGTAACTGGGGGTTCCAAGGGTCCCGACCCCCCCGAAATTTCAAAAGTAGAAACATTTTAGCAGTGAATATAATTTATTAACTATAAATTGTATTAAATAATAATGTTAGACCCCCCCCCCCCGAATTTTTTTTTCAGTTACGGCCTTGTAAACAGGCATTCGATCTAGAATTTTTAATTTATAAAATTTAATGCTCAAACATAAATTTAATTTTACATTTTCCCTTCTTAATAAAACTAACTAGATTTACTTTGTTATCAGAAACCCTTTTTAAACATTAAAAATTATAGAAATATTTCTACTATGAATCGTATACACAGACAAACCCTTAAAATAAAACAAACATAATTGTAGAATCAATACTTTTATACTTTTATTGATCTACTCAGAATTTATAAAAGTTCAGAAAAATATACTAACCTGGCATTCATTGCTGGAATTGCTCAGGTCTAAACAAATTATACCATCACGGAAAAGTTGATTTTCCCGAGTTTTGGGAAATATACAAATATTCAAATGACGATTACAAATCTGTACAAATGAAATAACAATCGTGTATACCAGTCCGGAGTCAATAAGATCATTATAAGCCGATGGCGGTACTGGGGTAACGGTTACACCAGTACCGTCATGGAAAAGTTGATTTTCTCGAGTTTTGGGAGGTGTACAAATGTTCAAATGACGATTACAAATCTGTACAAATGAAATAACAATCGATAGGATAATTTTGGAGTTTTATATAAAATTTGGTGGTACTGGGGTAACGGACCTTTACGATACTGTTATTGACATTTCCAAAATCCAGATATGGATAATTATAACGATAGCTATCGAGCATGAACATTTAGAGTATTAAAATTATTAAAAAAAACAAATCAAATAATGTAATCTAAACAAAATCGTAAACTAACACAAATACTCTAGTGCACATAGTATAGATAATATACTATTTAATGTATAATAATATAATATGATGTTGTTTTAAACAATTTGAATGAAGTAATTAATGAATTGTAATAACAATTTTGAGTTAAACTAAATATTTTCGAATTTTCGTACAAAATAAGCGAGTTACTTATTTTACTACATTTTTCATGAATTATTTAAGCTGAAAGTAGTCTAATCTTTAAATAATTTAAATTAAACTCGTGTTTAAATATATCTATACGTATAACATTTTTTAATACATTCTTTGCAATTTTTTCGTACTTTTTTATATGCATATTTTGCTTTTTTTAGTTACTAAAACTTCCGAGCCATAGTTATTATAATAATAATAAAAAAATTATTTTTGTATCGTACTAACACGACAAGTCAGTCGCATATTCCAAGAGGACAAGTTCTCGTTGCAACAATCTGAGAAAACATCCCCTCAAATAGTAATGAGCAAAGTTAGTATTGGTCAAGCAGTCATGGTCTTGGTCTTGCTGCAAAACCAAGACCAAAACTGAATCTGAAAAACCGAGACCAAAATAAAACTGACTCTGCAGAGTCTTGCAATCTTGGAACTTTTATTTTAATAAATAAAAAACAAAATATTCCCAGAAAAACAAATTTAGTCTAGATTAAATGAAACTGTTTATTAGGAATGTAATAAAAATGTATTATAACATTTGACGTATAACGTGGTGTTCGGGGAAATAACGAATTATTGAATTATTAAAAACAATATAAGAAATAATTGGATATAATATTACATATATATGTCGATTATTCAAATTCGTGGTTTAGAAAAAAATAGCAATTACAAAAACTTAACGCCTGAAACTTCTATAATTATTTAACTACAATGAGTTCTTCAATGATGGTCATAAATAATTTTCAATATTTATGAAAAATCGATCGCAAGCCATAAAATATAACAACTTATTTTATCATGGAAAATGAAATATTGTAATAAATCCCTGTTTTATTGTAAATTTTATTTTTCAAACTTTTATTCATAAAAGATGTTTAAAATAATACAGTGTTGCACCATTGTAATATATATCTGTTCTATGGCGAGAATGAAAAAATTGATATATCAGCTAAAATCAAGTGTTACTACGTTACAGTGTTAATTAGCATAACAAACAATGTTCGACCATTTTCTCGTTTGTATTTCATTATTCATTACTCTTTCTATCGCTTTTTGCACTGCCACTATTAAATATTGATCATTTTGAAAACAGAAGATTTTCGTCGAATCAAATAATAAATATGAATAATCTTAGACCGCAGCTAAGCATGCTCCACGGTAAGATAGTATACTATTATACAAAAATAATTAAATTGAAATATGATTGAAATAGGATGTGCGTTTTAACCCGTCCGAATGTAACTCGGTAATCTGTTATATCTGCCATCCACTAAACCAGTGGTGGCCAAACTACGGCCCGCCATCATTTAATATCTGGCCCGCGAAAGTCTTCTATATTACAGCACTTATTTGTATAACTGTAATATTTTGCATTTACGTAAAAAAAAAAATTTAGAATGCATTTTTTTATGGCCCGCGATAAAAAAAAAGTTGTTTTTTATGGCCCGAGGAAAAAAAAGTTTGACCACCACTGCACTAAACGAATAACTATGTTTTTATAAGAATTTTTTTTTTTTTCAATATACGGCATAATAAATCGCAAACGGTTACAAAGCCCAGAGTTCAAAAATGAAATGTTTAACGTTTTTATGTTGAATATTGTAAATGCGAACTATTTTTTTTTTGTTTCATCGCCAATTTATCTAAACGGAAATTTGTTTACATATAATATTAGAAAAATCATGTACAGTTGATATATTTGTAAGTTTAATCAACGGAATAGAATATAATATGAAAAATACAATAATAATTTAAATATATAAATGTAATAAGTTTTATAATATAATACGCGTATTGATACGGAGATTGACTTTTTCGTGTTTTTTTTTCGTTTACAGATTATTTGGACGGCGAAAATGCGAAACTCCAGTCTAATCGTTTTGACAGTTACGTTATCAAATCTACTGACGAAGACGGTCATCAGGTAAGCTCGTGTCACATATATTGCAATACGGTTAAGTACTAGTTTTGTATTTTACTTGAAAATAATTTTAAAATTAATTTTTCTCAGTGGCGTGGTGAACATTTATGAACAATGATACACAGCATATCATTTTTATTCACCACACTTTCGTACAAATAAAATGAAATATTTTAAGGTTGCATAATCTATGGTTTTTATGTTAATAATCAATGTTCATTTTGGGATTTTATGGTATAAATGTTTTTAGTACATTTTAAAACAACAAATATTAACAAAACGTTTAAGTACCTGTAAGATAAAATTAATTTTACTTTATTATTATTATATTTATTTTACTATTTAATAGTACTAAATTTCAATTATGAAACCTTATAAACCTATTAAAAATAATTTCACCATCCCAATTTTCTCAGGGAACTACTGTTTACTATTTTTTATTGTCATGAAATGTAAAATGTTGTACTTATATTTTTTCTGTGCATAAATGCATCTTATGGTTTCAACCTTTATAAAAACTTCTTTCTGTTCGGGTATCATAACGGTGTTTTTAATGTGCCACACGTTGGCAATCTACATAGAAGTTCAAAATTTAAATATAAAATAATTTTTAATAAGTTAAAAATTCAAATAAATTACGTCGTCACCTAAACTTTACCCAAATCTCACATTCCACAGCCAAATAAATAAAAATATTTTACACAAACATGTCATCCGTTCGAGTTAGAGATTTTTCGACCATTAAATTACCTATTAATAATTATAATAATATGATTGATAATATAATGAATAATATGATTAATCATAATAGCACTTTTGAGTGACTCATACATATTTTTAACTATACGGAGTGAATGAGAGGTTAAATTGTCAATAATTATATTATTTTACTGTAATTATATATGAAGTGTAGAATGAAGATACCTACATTTAACTTACTCAATGATATGTATTAATAAATTATTAACTTTCATGGAGACAAGAATTCTAAATTATTCATAACAATAATTTGAAATAAAGAATTATACAATACATAGTACAACAATCTATAAATTCATAGTCCGTTTACCGAAGGAAGGTTTCACACTTTGGTCCTTTTTAATATTATATCGTTTGAACGCCATGAATTCAGCAGCAATATGCTGGGGAACTTACAATATTTATATACGTACTATTTAGTAGCAAAATATTTTTAGGAGAGTTAATATACGTATAGTTCAATAGTAAAATGCTTTTAGAGGTATTTACTATTGCAGTTTTTAGCAGTGTTTACAATTACCCGAATCTTTTATCGTTTTCATACGACGCGAAACTCGTATTTTACGAAATATTTCGTCCAATCCCGTGCGTTTACCAAACAAAAATCGTAGTTCAATAAAAATCGTTTTTAATTTTTTTTTTTTCGGGTACATTACTTTAAATCGAATCGGTTAAGCTATCCCGATGGATGAACATTTTTTCGGGTTTTTTTTTTATGTTTTTTTTGTTTTTCATACAATCATCGGAATCGTCTCGTACCCGGATTTAATGTACAAATAAAATGGGATTAATACATAGATAAATACTCAAATACACAGGTTCATAAATTCATATAAAAAATATAAATGATAAATATAATATGGCATAGATTTGTATACTTGTGGGTTTTCATTGGTTTTTTTTTTTTTTTTTGGATGGAAGGTTAATGACGAGATTGGTTACAAGAGGTCGATGAGGTGTGTTTCTGTTAGAAATTGACTGAGCTTGACGATATTCCCCGGTGGTTTAGAACTTAATATTTCAGCTAGATGATAGGATATCCGCATTTTAACTTTCTCCGTATTATATGAGCTACGAATATTATTTTCGGCGTCGGTTCCAACTATAACACGTGTCAACGGTTCAATTGCGTTTACAGTTATCATCCGACTGCGATGACATGGTGCACGACGCGATTCTGGATTTCATCGGCTACGGACGTCCGGGTTACGAGTTTCTGTCGTACGCCGAAGACGCTTTGTTCCCGTTCGAAACTTCTCCGTTCCGTAGACGTTCGGGGCACCACGCACTGTACAACATGAGCGTCTACAACGTGTACCAGGAGCCTGCGGTTCCTGCGTACGAATACCGTGCCAAGAGGAAGAGCAAACCGTTGGACATCGTCGACCCGGTGACCGGTGAAAAACTGCGATTTCCCATCAAATGATTTTCGACGCACCGTTTCCGTAACGCGTCATTTTTGCCACCACGTTGCCACTTGCCTCGTTCTGGCATCACGCTGCCACCGTGGTTATATTGTACCGATCACAATTGTAGTTTACCACATTTATGTTAACGTTTTGCACCGTTATCCGTGTGTAATTGAATAAAACATTTGCCTGTAATCGAATTTATTAATGATCGTTGATAATGCGTTTTTGAATAGAAAAAAAGCACTCACACGTGAAAAATTCTTCGATTTACCGGCCGATCAAAGTATGCTACATTTTTATTGAACAATGATTATCACATAACGGGTAAGGATTGTGCACAATAATTGAATAGGATAAAAAGTCCGATAAATTAAAAAATAAATAAAAATATGTTACTCGATTTCCGTAATAGTAGTTTCCACAATACTAGTGTTACCACTGATATTACAATGTACTACAATATTATGAAATCATATGTGGGCATCATTTGTTATACGCGAACATCGAAACAGATTAAGTAATAAACTTGCACAATGGCTACTTTTGTAGTATGTACATAATACTGTACATAATGTAGTAATACATACTCTTAGTCAAAAGAGCTTTTGTAAATGTAATGTTATAGTAATATATTCGTATTTCTCTTTAATTACAGCTTGTTATTAACATGTTTTTTAAAATGTTGGTGTTTACAGTAACATTTTTTTTTTACATTAAAAAGGCTTCTTTTAAAATACACTAATATACAATTATATTATTTGTTTTAAACATAATTAAAACTTTCTAATAATATCAATACACACACACACATATATATATAAATGTTTACATTTTTATACACCGTTATTAATTATTATTTTTACAGAACGACTAATGCTACTGAAAGTTTTCATTGAACATGCAATTGTCATTTTTATTATTCTTATCCCCATATTTATGCAGTGCTAACAGTATTATTAAAAATGCAGGCTGAGACAGAAATTAAAACAAATAGGCTTAATAATAATGGAATAAAAAAGATGAAATTGCATCATGTAGTTACATGCATTTCAGTTACAATAAGGATGTATGATAAATATAAATTTTCTTAAATTAGAGCTAATTTAAAGGAATATTTATCAAAAACTGGTCGTAGATACTAGGGCAAAAGCCTATGAGTATTTAAATTATTTACTACAATTTATAAATGATTTACTTTTTTTATTACAATTTTAATTAGATTTTTAATCATTATTTTTTAATAATTATTTGTATTGTGTTTCTGATTAGTTTCTAATAAGTTTTTTGTTTTTATTTTTCTGGTTAAAATATGATGTTTCATTAAACAAATAAAGTTTCATTATCATATGCAATAAAATATTTAAATAAACATTTATTTTTTATTTTTTTTTAAATTATTATTACCACCAAATATAAACTACTAGAACCTATATGAATCAAAACGTCTTTTACGTACGTTTATCTGAATCGTCTCAGTCAAGCATTTATAAACGGATGTTACGGCAATGTTACAGTTGAAATCTTCGAATCGTATGTACATACGAAATTTGTGGAATCGTTTATGTTTATAAATGGTTGTGAAAATCACGATTCCGCAATTTGTTGGAATCGTTTTTCACCAATTATTTTATGATCACAAATCGATTAGGTAAAATTTTGAAATATTCCCTCCTACACTTGTCGGGGGAATATATCATCGTGTCTTTGTCGGTATGGATTCATTGATCTTTTGGCGCACTAATTTACCGTGACTATGACTATTTAATAATTGTAATTTATAATGTTAAATAATATGCGCGTCAACAGAGACATCGAGGCATATCTGGAACGCGTCCAGCCATTAAAAACGTAACTTTTTAATTCGTTGTCGATTTTAATAATATTTTCCATTACCCCGGGGAAATAAATCACTCAGATTTCAAATTTAACGTATAAATAGTTGAAAATCCAATCTATGGGTCATAATTACGTGTCGGAAGTTTATACGTATATAAATATATATTTATATATAGGTATGGATACTATCAAATGCAATTATTTTCTAGCATATTTACATATATTATATATTATATATTATATACATATATATATATTTACATATATCGAATAATGCGCGTAAAGCGTAAATGTCTTCATCGATTCAAACTATTGCAAACGGCGATTTACATATTTTAATAATCTTTAAAACTTTCAAAATATATTAAAATCCTTGCTCTAGTTGCCAATGATATGGTGAGTTTGTACATATATTGTACAGGTAGAGTGGTGCAGGTAAATAGCACGTACACCGCAATCAGATAAAAAGTCACCGTCACATTCTTTAACTTAATATTTTGCTATTAACTCGGAATAAATCTATAGTATTTGTTCCAAAACTATCTTCAAAGCAGTACCATCTAAAGATAGCAGATATTTAGATAGCAGTGCTATCTAAAAACTGAAACATAATAAACACCTATATAATTTAAAGGCTTAGATTTATCAATCAATGCACTTATTTTGTTAGTCAAGGTTAAAAGTTTTTATAAAAATTTAAAGTCTTAAATTTTAATTAAAATTAAAAAAAAAAAAGTCTTCAAAAGTTGCTCAAATTCTTGCAGCTCACAACAACATTTTAAATAAAAAATCAGAAATTATATTGAAGGTTGATGATTATTGATTAATCGATTCAGAGACAGAAAATAATGCTCAATATAAAGTTGAGAAAACAAATTTATCATATACTGAGATACAGTAGTAAATATAATAAGTAGGTAATGATGATAATAATAACACATTAGGATTATTTTACGTGCTCAAGTCGATACCACATCTTTGTATTATTTTGTTTCCATTCGTGTTGGAGTTATTTCAGAAATATCGGTGAAAAATGTCTTGCATATGTTTTCACATTATTTTAAACTATTATAACAAAACAAAAAATCTTCATTTGTATTTTTTTATACTTTTACAATGTTTTGTAAATATAATTTTGTAGGTAGATATGTTCGTGCGATTTATGTGTGCATTTTATAATTTGAGATAATGTACTTGTATTTACTCAGTTTAACTGGAATTTTTTTTTTCAGTAATTTATCTGTTTTTATTATTAAGACTCTTTAAATGTAACAAATAATACCGGGCCATACGAGTGTATTTATTTTTTATTTTATTTTGTTATTATCCAGGACATCAATGCAAACTAAAGAACCAAACACTGTAAACAACTATAATGAAAAACCCTAAAGTAAATACACTAAAATAATCATGAAAATGTGAAACGTTGAATTGGTAGAGTATTGTGTTACCCGTGCTGCACCACTGCATATTATAATACTAGATAACGTTTTTCTGTTGACTCAATTTAACTAGCCTGATTAATTTATTCTTTCGATAATTTAACCGCATCCGTTGTTAGGATTCTTCAAATATTTAACAAATAATACCACACTAAAAGAGTAAACACACACTAAATATCTTAAATGAAAAAAGTCAATGTAAATACACTAAAAGAATCAAGAAAATCATGAATAGATAGGTATGTTTTTGCGTTTCTGCTGATCGAACGTTAAATTAGTATAATTATTATATTGCCTGTGGTAAACTGCTGTATTATGTAACATTTAGATGCAGTGTTGTTTTAAGAAAAATACTTTCTTTAGTAAACTATTGATTGTCGTTCTACAATAAACAACAATCTATAATTTGTCAACAGTACCTTAATAATTATTAATTAAGATTCATCGGGTTCTAAAAAAATGAAAAGTTTTATACTATTTCAGAAAAGTGTTTTTAATTTATTATTACGTTGTTAAAGTAATTTCTCTGTATTCAGTCGTACGGATTAACACGGTTTTTTTTTTAACAAATTTAGAACTATAGTTTTGTTATGATTGTATTACATGATAAGTTACGAATGGACATCAAATCGCTACTATTATACCTTTATGGGTTCATGTAAAAATAAATAAATAAAATTAAAATGTGTAAATCTTGATATCCACTTTCACATCTACAACAACATATAGTCTTGGAACATTGATGATTTATAAAAACGTTGTAATTATTTATGATTCAGTAACAGTTAGGTTAGATTGGGTTAGGTTAGGTTACCACAATGGTAATTAAAAAAAAAAAGTTTTAAATATTTCTTACGATGCTTCGATTAAAGTATAAAATAAAATATGACATAATCCCGTATGAGTACAAAGTACATAGGTACCTACGTTTTGCACGGCGGATATTGTATTATTATTATTATTATTTATGTCCATCATGGATATAATGGTTTCCCGAGTAATGGGCTGCAGTTATATATAATTTCAATTAATTTAAAACATAGTTGAAAAATAGCTAATTTAGCTAAAAATTAATGGACGATTACTCTTGTCATAACTTTGTTAGATTAATAGTCTCATATGAATGTATAACAAATTAATTTAAGTTCATTGCTTTGTTTTGTTTCTTTTTTTGCGATCGCCGTGCAAAACCAGGTGATAAATCTGTTGGACGGTAGACGTCATCGCACGGCGACGTGACAGTGAAACATAATATTTTAATTGAACATTTCATTTAATTATAAGAATTTACGTTTAATTAAATATCAGAATAAAAATGTACATCATCGTGACGGTGTAATTACATTTTTAATTAACCATCGTTGTTAATGGGTTGATTGCTAATCGAATGTATAATATACATTATATATTGTATATATATTATATACATATACAATATTTATATTATACAATTACACATATATATATACAACGAGTGATTGTATCGGTCTATAATAGTGTACCCATCTGTATTTTACATTAAGATATAAGTAGTAGCGTAACTGGGAAAAAATGTAGGGGGGAAATAATTTATTAACCATGATCAAAATCCTAAGCCCCTTTGTTTTAAATATATTTGTATTATATGTATTTTATACATTATACAGAATACCTGAAAAATGTATTATAAATTAAAGTGATACTTACTACTTTGGGCGTCAGTAGTCTTTTTAAATTTTGATGACATGAAATTGAACAATGTCTGACGTTTATTAGATATTTTTTTGATATGTAATTAATAATTATAAGCAAATTACAGTAGAAGAATAAGTATGTAATGAATAATAGAACAGTATAGTCTTACTTTCAGTAAAACACTGAAGCACACTATCACAGCAAAATTAGTGCTCGATGTAGTGAGAATACGGAGGGATGGCATCCCTCTACTTTTTTGTATTTACAGTTTTCATCCCTCTACTTGTTTTGTCTGAAAAATTATTAAACATAATATCATTATCAAATTACCATGTCCGTTATCAAATAGTAACTCAGATTTAAATTCGCTTTAAAAAATGTATTCATTTTAATTATAAACAATTATGTCTGATAATTTAGATAATATTATAATAGCTCTTGTTTTAGCTATTTATTTTCTTGATAAAATGAAGAAAAAACGAAAGCAGAAGTTTTGGGCTAATGAGAGATTGCAAAAGCGAAATAAGTATAATTGTGAAAATCTGTTATCTGATCTATGATTAAACCAATCTGAAAACTATTGATTTTTTTTTAAGAATAAACGAGTCATGCTATTATGAACTTTTAACTTTAGTTACTCCATTAATAAAAAAACAAAATACAATAATGAAAGAATCGATTTCAGTCAGCCAAAGACTTTCCTTGACTCTGCGTTACTTAGCCACTGGTAACACATTTGAAGATCTCAAATTTATTTTATTCATTTATTTTTATTGACAGTGGGTCAATAAAAATCAAATATTTTTAATTTGTTCAATATTATTGATCAATCCTTCAAAACTGCCAATACATGATCAATATTATTGATAATATCAAATATTGATCAATATTATTGACCGTATATGGGCCGCTTAAGACTTGTATTTTAAAATGATATACTTATTATTATTTTTATATATAAGAAATTATTTTTTTTCGGTAAAAATAATTGTTTTTAACATTCAGGCCCGGGCGCCCGGCTTATCGTGTTGTTTAGTATAAGCCGTTTCGCAATCCGCATTATACCCGTATTTAGAGCCACGTACTAAGATAATATACTTTATGTGAACTATAAAAAAAAAAAAATATAGGTACACAAGGTGTGAAGAATGTTATGATGATATCAGGAAATCTGAATTGTAAGACATCTCTCCACTTATTTTGTGCCATTTCGACCACTGAGCACAATGTAATGTGGAAATAGGTATGTAAGTATAAACAAGACAAAATAATATTTTATCAGTTGTGGTTATTGTAATTTGTTATTGATCTAAAAATAACCTCTTGTTCCTGTAGTCACAATCACGATTTCAAGATAATAATATTAAATCGTGTTCATACCATATACATATATAAATAATATATTGTTTATACCTATATGACTATAGTTCATATTCCATGCAATGATAATATTATTAATAGATTATTTTTGATCCTAATCTAAATAATGTGATTATTACAATAACTCTTACAAGATAAATTTAAAATAAAAACTTCTATACAATTACTTGACTTATCTTATATATATTAAGAAAATTAACAATACAGTTTAATTTTTGGACTATACATTATAGTCGAACATTAAATATATTATTACGCATAATACTTAAAAAAGTAAATACCTTATACTCAACTGCACTCGAAGATGATCTCTGATGTGAATATGTTGTCTCGCCAATTTCATTATTTTTTTGAGGATCCATCAAGATTTATTACACTATAATTTTTATCTACTTCGGCGCTTAATGGAATTGATAAAGTTATATCCAAAAATTGAAACAATTAATAAACATTAAATTATTTAATGTAAGCCAATTATTGCTCTTGACGAAACATTAGTTGAATGAATTACATAGTTTCGTTTGTGTTGCGGTTGTAAGGTAGTATTAACAAATTAAAATTTCACAAAATAATTAGGTATGTTAATTGACCAAGGTAGGGACATCGATTTTTTCGGTAAACGAACAGCGATAACTTAACAACGATAATAAAAATTCCAAAACGACCGTTCAGAGGAAGAGTTACAACTTGAATGATTACATTGTTGTAAATAGAGTTTACAATTTTTATGAAGAAACTTTAGGTAGTTGCATATTTGTTTGGAAAGTACATTTTGAATTGCATTCTCGTTGGATCATAGACAGATATTTGGTTTCATCTGTGGGGGCTTAACATTTTTGTCTTATTCATTAGCGGCAACAAATATTTTTAGTCGCTTCCGACGCTTCCACCAACTAACTGTAGTGCTACTTTATTCTAGCTGAGACACCAAATATATATATAGGTAATAGGAACATAAAAAAAAGCTACTAAATTATTTTTATTTTAATTGTATATATCTATTTTTTTTTTGTGCAAACATATTAACAATTATTTTAGTATTAATAGATTTAGAAATTTCTTTTTCAATATATAGAGGTGTTGTTGAACCTTTCCTGCAGCATAGAAGTTCGAAGCCAAGTTTTTATTCTACACATGGCCGTAAAACTCCTTTCACAAGTAGAGGAACTTATAGAAATTGTTAAAGCAACTTGAAATAGTATATAAATTAAGGAAAGTCTGTTTTATTAAAACCTTTTTCACACAATTTAAAGTTATATAATTTTCATCAGTAGACTGCAATATACAATTATTTTCCACTTCTATTTCTGACTGTAATACATCTTTAGATACATTCATCAAATCCTGAAAAATATACAAAATACAAGTTCACTTTTAACAAAATTAGAAAACTAGAGCATAGGTAAGTAAAAATTAATTTTCAGAAACCGATACGATACTTACTTTATAATGATCTCAAAGACTTTCCTCAAAGTTTAATTGAAAAAATTGATCAACAGCTGTAGCCATCTGGAGGCTTTCAGTAGAAAATCTTTTTTTCAGATTTATCAAGATAGCATCAAATACAGGAAAGAAAGCATTTTTTCTAAAATAATCTTCAATGGTTTCAAGTATCATTAATATTTTGTTCAGCACTTGTAATTGCAGTAGTATCAAAATGTTTAAGATTGTATGGCTCTTGTCTTTTTATTTTGTATCCTAGTTAAATAAATATTAACTTAAAATTATTATAATTATAAATATAATGTGTTCATTAAGTCTTACCTTTAGATGGCGTTTGTATTGATACATCATTGTCTTTAACAAAGATTTTTATTTCACACCAAAGCTTAGAAAAATACTCTGTTGTTCTAGAATTTTTAAAAGTCATCATCATACCTTTAATAATATTTTTAGATTCCTCTAAGGTTGCATTTTTTTCTTGACATTTGTTAGAAACAATATTAATATTAATTAATACTTTATGTAAGATAAATAAATAAACTATAAATCATCCACTTTTTAAATTTGTTAATATACCTAAAACAAAGATATTAGAATTTAAATACTTTGAATCATTAATTATTACTTATTACATTATACCAATTGTTTCATTTACTCCTCTATCATCTTTATTTTCAATTTCTTCTTCTAAAGCTTGAATAGTTGCTTTATAACTGTTTTTAACACTCTATATTTCGATAATGGCAATTCCATCTAGAGTCACTAAGTCTAATCATTGTAGTATGTTTTATTCCTAGTTTAGTTTGAATCTCAGTTAATTTTTGAATTTTTGACGAATGAGAAAAATGTACGTACAGGGATTCTAAAGTGTTGAACACATGCCTTGTTTCCTAATATTAATATAAATAATAAATAAAATCATGAAGATCTATGATATATTTAAATATTCATTACCTTTACATATTTACACATATCAATTACAATGAGGTTCATTTTATGAGCCATACAGTGGGTATAAATAGCGTAAGGATATTGATTTTTTTATTTTATTTTGTAGTCCGTTTAATTACCAGGCATAACATTTGCACCGTCATATGACTGAGCAATTATTTGTGGTTTAGAACTAAGTTTACACTTTTTCAAGTACCATAATATGTAATGATATAAACTTTCAGCATCTTGATTCTTAGAACAATCTATAAAACCAAGAAATCTTTCAATAACATCTACATTTTTAACAAACCTTTCACATAATGTCATTTGTTTTTGTTTGTTACACCTATAAATTAATTTTATAAAAATAAATTAAGAAGTCCATGTATAAAACATAATTTATATTTCACATTGCTTCATCACATATAATTCCAAATACCTCAACATCTTCAATATCTTTCACAATTATTTCTTTCATAACATATCTGCACGTATATTTATAAGTTCATCTTGAATTATATGACTTGAGTAATTGGTTTAAAGATTAATTTTTTTTTCTAAATTCCTCATTACTTTTTGCTAACAATTTACATAATTCTTTAAAGTTTCCTAAAAATGTATTAAATTTTTTATAAATAATTATTATAATTAGATATTTTACATTTAAGATCATTTAAGACTATTAGTAATATTAATTATTAGTTATTATTTTAATACCTTGATTTAAAGAATCTTTTGTCTCGTCGTATCTCCTTAAACCAATTCCTAGACAACTTACAAATAAAACAATATCAACTAACATTTTCATATATTTTTTATTACTTTCAACTATCAATGAATGCTGAGAAGATATTTGAGAATAAACACTACCAGTTTCTTTTGTTTTCTGATATGCAGACCATTTAATACATAAACCATACATGTAAGATGTAAATTACTTTTGGCATATGCATCAAATGTATTGAGTTTACTTTTATTCCCACCTTTAGATCCACTAAAAACACTCAACTATAAATTATAATATAATTATGTTAATAATTATAATTAAAAAATTATAAATAAAGCATAAATACCAAACACATAATTTTTTCCAATTTCTAAAACCAACTAAAAAGCTATCTTCAAAATTGCCACGTTTTCTAGTACAAAAGTTTCTACAAAGCAAAAAAATTGAATCTTTTGATATACTATATTCAAGCCATCCATATGTTTTGTAATGCTAATGATTCAAAGCGCGATTTTGTGTACCAAATCTAGTTAGTGGATATGACTGCAATATATTTGATTTAAATATAATATAATAACTTAAACTATGTTCAGTGTTTACCTACATTTGTACTTACTGTTAAAATTGGTCGCACATGGCCTGTTAAGTTCTCAAGTCGGAAATGACATTTTTATCTACAATATTTTCAACACTTTTTTGTGTAGTTATATCAATGTTTAAACCAATATTTAAATATTTATTTTCAGATTCTAGTGTTGTTGTTGACGAGGAATTAGTAACAACTAATTTTTGTTTTTTAATATTAAAGACATCAAACATTCTTTTAGCCATAATTTAATTAATTACAATTTATAATTTAAAATTAATTGATTAATTCAGTTAATACATCATTCACATAAATAATATAAAATTATTTTGTTTATTTATTTAACACGTCACTTACGGATAACCATGAGTAGGTATTAAAAACAAAAATAAAGGCGATCACCGTATACGATTATCTCTTATGTATGCGTATACGCTCCAAAAACAATCGATACTAATGCTGTGGCGAGTTGCAACTTGCATACCTATTTATAACTGTACAGGTATCGTAAACAAGTTCTAGAATATTCGCGATTATCAATATATACCTACAAAATATGATTTTCCCAACAACGATAAGCCGTGAATATTCCAGACCATTCTCATATCTCAACAAAATGAAATAAAAATTATAAATATTGAAACACATAATTTTTTATTTTGATGTTTACATTCTGGGGGGCTTAAGCCCTCTCAAGTCCCTTCCGATATCCGCCTATGGGTTGGATGCAAATTCGATCCATAGTACGCAGGTTTCAAACGCAAAATAATTTTACATATCTCGTTATTTTCTGTAGGAGTTCGCATGTTTAAGAACTTTTAAATGCATTTTTCATGGATTTAACTAGGTACGCAATTTTTTTTTTCAAATTTATAGTTCAACAAAAATTATTAGACACATGACGACCAAAATTCTACATTTTATATCTTTCGACAAAACAAATCAATTCATTAATGGTTATTTTAGTATTGCTTCTATTGCACTTAATAATGATATTATAATCTCCGTTTACCGAGAAATCGGTAATGGGTGTCGTCGATCGGACCGAATTTATTTCCATCTTAATTCACCGAGGCATTATGGGCCGATACTACTTATTACCGATAGCCGATATACCGATATAAAACCATTACCCAACATGATAATGACAAGTAAAAACCAAGTTGATTTTTTCATTTATTACATAAAAAATCATCTCTTTTGGCAAAAACCATGAACCGATACTAAGAATTAATCCGATATAGACCGATATTATATAATAATAGCATTACATTATTTTAGTGAGTAAGCGGTTTTATTTGCAAATTAAATAACAATGTTCCTTTTGAGTATAAACAATAAAACTAAAATTAAACACTAGGTTGGCGAAAATGAACGATTTATAAGGCAACGCAGTACACTGATGGTGTCGCGAACGAAGAAAAACGAACGTACTGACGCGTCGCGTCGGTGTATGAGTGGGCTCACCGTTGCGACGTTGGAGGCGAACGCGATGGAGGCACGGTACCCTAACCAACTGCGTCACATCGATAAGAGAGCACTGTGGTGGTGGACCACTCAGTACCATAAAAATCATAGGTGCAGGTGGTGCACAGCACTGGGGCCCGCAGGGTCAAAGGGCCCATAGCAGATAGCCGTCAAATATTTCGTTAATTTAATTTGATTCATGAATATTGTATTACTATCTTGTATTTCATTTTATATAACAAAAATGTAAGTCTGGTCCGTATTATTTGGAATTGTTTATCTAAATATTGGGGAAAATACTATGCCTAGAGTGATACAGATTACTTTTATATTTTATTGTAAATCATGTTGATAAAATCAATAATCATATTATATACTTTATCTTTGAAGTTTATTCTAAAAGATTTTTTAATAATAAAATATACCCAATAAACAAGTGTTTATTTTTTTCCCCGTGCACCTAATTCATGAAAATTGTATTATATTCGACAAATCACATAGATATTTTTCAAATTTTTACTGCGCATTATACCACGTATTGTTTTTATTAACGCATTCGTGTTCCTACGTTTATTATCGCCTGAATTTCTGAGCCTTGCTTTTTACCACGCATTAAGATTAAATCTAATTTATACCATTTTAATTCATGATTATTACCGAAGCATTTTGTTTCCTAACGATCGTGCGCCGTCACTACGATAAAATCATGAACACGTTTCTCCGCCAAATACGTACAAGCGGATAAAAAAAGTTTTGTTTGGTACGAAAGTCCTCTTAAATGTAATTTTTCATCAGGCTATCGTGTCAAACATCATGCCACTGGCTCGTAGCAACTATTTTCTCGCCCCCGTTAGACCGATTGGATTATATATTGAGATGTAGTAGACGATCATGTCTACATCATATTACCAATTTACCTCAAATTATAGGTCTCTCTCTGGTTACGAATAATAATTAAAAATACGATTGTTAACAGAACAAAAAAAAAAAGTGTTTAGACCAGTGTTTTTCGGGTTATTACATTTTTTATACTACAAATATAAAATATTTAATATTAGATTATTATAAAACGGATCATAACTTATCAACAAAGACAACTATAAAACGCTTTTTTTTTTTACATGTTTGTAAAGAAGTAAAATTGAAAAAGTAAAAAACCTAAACTGGGTAGGCATTATATTGAGAAAATCATTTGAAGATTATGTTACCTCACCATGTCAGAATTGTACACAAAGCAAATAGGTAGGTAAGACGTCATGTAGATGGATTCAATAAACCATTGGTGTTTTTTTTATCTTGAATCTTATCAACGCCAGGTATCGATTCACAGCACAATTGATAGTTGACACTTAACTATAAAACATATGAGGCACAGCCTCATTGACATTTACATGTACCATTTTGTTCAATACAATAGATATCAGTTTTCAAAATCTATTTAAATTTAAATACTGCTAATGAAACACTATGCATGAAATACAATAGGTACTATCAGTAATAGGGAGTCAAGGCACATAAAATAACCATGTACATATCATTCAAAGTTTAAAATATATTTTAAACGACGAATGAAAAATGTTTATTAAAAAATAAAAAATAAATTTACAAGTTTGATGTAGGTAATTAAATACAAGACGAAAGAAAATTAATGAAAGGAACTACAATTTGCCATTAATATTTTAAGGACAATGAACTAATTAAGAAATGAAAAAAAAATACAATATTCGATAGAGATCTAAACATAGGATTAGTTATTAATTCTAAAGCATATAAAAAAAAAAAAATAATAATAATAATAATAATAATACAGATAAGCTTTTAAGACTGTAAAACAGTTTTGTGATGTTATGTATTACATTTTTGTAAAATTCATAATCATGAATCATGCACTTGAAGCTGTGCCGCAATAACCTGATGTGTTGCGTGTGTCAATGGCTCCAGGCTATAATAGGGCCCAATGATATTTGACAAATATGAAGAAAGCAAGAAAATAAAACCATTTTGTAATAATTATTATTAATGGAGATTGAACAATAATTGATCGATTATGTTTTGTACACATTATTGTATGTACATCAAAGTTTCTTATATGGTCTGTATAATCGAAAATTCAAAATAGTTTGGTTACAATTAATTAATGGAATGTTTTCCCTACAGAGTCCAGAAAGGGGGGGGCAGTCATTTAATTTACACATGGGCCCAAATCAGTGTAGTTGCAGCACTGAATTGAAGTACAAAAGAATATTTATATTTTATACATAATTATAAAAATGTATTTATAGAAAGTTGCAATTAATCATTTATGCTGTTTACACATTTAAGGCACTTTCAAATTTAAATTTGGTAGATACCCAGTAAAAAATAAGTGAAGTTATGTTAATACCTATTGAAGAGTATAAAGAGTATAGATTATTTAGGATATTATAAATAATATTACATTATAACATTTTACATTAAGTATAAAAACTAAAAATATGGGTTTGTGTTAATTTTAAACAAATGAAAAAATATAAAAATATAAAATAAAATATTAAACAGTAAATTATAAAAATAAATTATACCTATTTCATTATAAAGCAAATATCACTGTTACATATTGTGACATTAATATTTTTTTAAAATAAAATTTGTTAACAATACCAAAGATTATTAAATTATACATAATTATAAATTCTCTTAAATAGTTTGCACAAAATAACGTTCACAAATATGTTACATTAACTTTTGTTTTTGCCAAATTATTGTCAGAAGGTAAACTCTGATAATATATTTATGAATAATGTTAGCAATAATCAAATAAAATTATGTACAAATATTTGGGGCTCGTTATTTTACATATGTTATGATTAACAATGTAGACAATTTTGATGCATTATTGCAATGGTTTCATTTTGGTGGCAGTATAATGATTAAATCTAAAGGGGAGAACAACTTTACAATAAATAAAATGGTGATTTATTTAACTAGGTGACCATGTGTATCTTCTTTTTTTTTTAATTTACAAATTTTGATATATTTGATAAAGAAATAATGGCAAATATAACTGTGGTCAGAATATTTCATTTATTTCAAAGTTGCCATGAAAATCTTGGCTGAGGAACTTTGAAAAAATTAAGATTTCAATTATATAGAAAAATGGTTTGCAAAATATTGAATATAACATAAAAATATTCTTCAAGACAGTTAAACCACTTTTTGACTAGTATACACTTTTTTTATATATCATTTTGATTTAACACCAAAGTATAATACAAATATATACTTAATAAGTTGTACGAATTTTACATAATACTTGATTCTTTAACTTGACCTAATATAATTTTGTTAATACAAAATAGTAGTGAAAAAAAATATAAAATGAGAAACATCAAATAGCTAATATAAACGGCAAAACGGAAATTTGAATTTTTAAAACACAAGAAAAATAAATTTTGAAAATATAATCAATTACATAAGAAATATTGTGCAAAAATTTTAGTTAAACAAATATTACTAATAAACATTACTTCTTTTTTGTTTGATTAAATTATTTATTTAAATTTGAGTTTACTTTAATTTTAATCACACATTTTAGGTAATGTATGAAATATATACATATAATTATCCTTATTAATAAATGCTTTGTACTTTTTAAAAAAAAAAAAAAAAAAATAATGAAAGTTTGGTCATTTTTAAAAGAAATAAAAGCATTTTCATGTATACACATAATAATGTATAACTAATTTTCATATGTGATGATATTGTGTTCAGTTGTCTATTAATTACAGTTAAAAAATCATTAATACAAAACATTGAAAATTACTGTGAAAACAATCAGTCAAAATAGGTTCAACATATTGTTAAGCCATTGTAATAAAACATAAAATAATTAATAAAAAATTACAAAATATGAAATGTAAAACATAATATATCGAATAGAATTGAAATGTTTTAATAAAAAATGTCTAACTATTGAGAATCATTAATAAGTGATGTGTGTTAGTTGTACATCTTGAGCTTAATCGTAAAAACTAAACATTTTCTTTCTTCATTTTGTCAATTGACTCAATCTCGATATCTAGATTGCATATGATTTAAGTATACATACGAGTTAAAACATTTTAAATGTAATAGTAATCAAGCCACTTATTAATATTCATAATAAATACCAAACATATTCAATACAATTAATTGACAATTAATACTGGAGTTAAATACTCAACAACCATAGAAATGAGATATTCTAACTTAATAATAAATGGGAACATGTTATTGCTTTTTTAGTAAAAAATAAAATAGTCGCTCATAAAAAAGAAAATGTGGAATAGAAAATTTAAAAATATTTATATATATTATGACCTTAAAAATTTGATCTGGTGGTCTTCATTGGTCACTACATACATTAGAGATCAGTCTTTATGAAAATGTGATGGATTTAATACTTAAATATTAACTAAGGAATATTTTTACTAAAATTAAATTCACTTATATTAACTTAGCAATAAATTAAAAATATATATCATGTCTAACACTGAAATTCAGAAGCGGTAATTGCACTCAGATCTTTCATTAGGCCTTCTAAGTTAGCCATCTCTTGATTGAGTTCTTCTGTGCTATAGGAAGTCTGTAAACAAATTATATTTTTAATTAATATAATTCAACATAATCAACATAACTAATTATTAAATTTAGACATAAATAATAAAAAAATTATAAAAATAAGAACTATGCAATGGTGTCATGTACAATTAAAAATACTTCATAACGGTAATTTAGGTAGTTGTACTAATGTATGACAAATTATTTTTAAGATTATAATTGTTTTATTACTTGTATTTTGCTAAGAGATTCCACTTCTATGACATCATCTCTCTGATTTATACCAGTAAGTGGCGATTTCCATGCCTTAGGACCACTTGTCATAGATGCATTGGATGGTGAACTATTTATAGTTGAATAATTATTTTTTTTATATGGACTTGAAGAGCCTTGTGGCCTGACTGTGACTAAAAAAAAAAATATAATAGATAATTAAAAATAAAAATAAATATGTATACAATTATAATACCAATATGCTTTTGTTGTGGAGTAGAAGGTGCTGACTGAGGTGGAGGTGCAGGTACACTAAAGCTTTTTAAAGGATGACCCTGTTGTCTTTTTTCACTGGAGTTTAGTGATGACCTAAAATTATAGATGAAAAATCAGATATCAAATTAATTAACTATAAGTTAATTATATATTATTAATGTAAATAAATAAGAGTTATATTATTCTCATTTTTTTATTTTATCAGTGTTATCTTTAGGTATTATTGAAACTAAAAAAAAAATTAACTTGCCCTATTATTAGGCACATTTTTAAAATAAAAATATTTTTAAATCTAAATATGACCAAATGAAATCAGTGAAGTTAAATTTGTTCTTTAAGTTTTTAAAATTGTGGTAATTATAAATATTTATTAATATTATTAATAAAGTTAGTTTTTATTTTATTTTAGGGTTATGTTGTATTTTATATGCTTGGCTTGACCCTCCTACGGACGCCAGCGCATTAATTTTATTTGTATATCATAATTTTATATGTAACTATAGATTTATTGTTAAAGTATGATCATATTCTCCTATACCTAGCCCTGTTTATTTTTTACATTTGTACAATTATAATCTTGGTCGTGCCTATGCGCGCATAACCCATAATTTGGTGTTAGGTTATTTTGATTTTATTAGTTGAAGCGCCCATTCCACATATCATACTCAAGAACAGATTTTGAAGTGCACGTCCGCGAGTGTCGCGCGGCCAGCTAGCGATAATTTTAATAGTTCCATGACGCGTTGCGATGGGGCGTGTAAACAGTATTTATTTAATTTAATATGTCTGCTAATTAGGTATAAATTATGTAATAATATAATAATTGTAAAATCATAACAACAACATATAAATAATTATTTATAATTAATTTATAATATATATATATATATTTAATTTATAAATTTTTTTCATTATTTACGGAATTTAAATAATTAATAAGAACATACGTATGCTGTTGTTGAAGGCTTGAAGAGGATGATACAGGTATAGATTCAAATTTATCTGGAACTGTAGTTGCTTGAACAATATAATTATTTTCAGGAACTCCTAGTAATCATAAATTATTATATAAATAGCTATTTTACTATATATATATATAAAATATATTATAGTTATTTTCACCTGCAGTTAAATCGACTGTAACATGAGCTCTTGTAGTTGTTGCATACTGAGATTTTGGGAACGGTGATCGAGATTCTTGATTAGGTAATGACGCCATTGCTAAAATAAAGTAGAAAGTAAAGATCAACAATTTTAATTATCATAAACAAAATAACAAAGCAATTAAAATAAAATATTAAAAATTATAAAATATAGAATTATAACTTACAATCACTATAAATAGAATCAAATGTATCAACAGGCAAAACAGATTTGGGTTTAAAACGTTTAAGCGTTGAAGTTTTCTCTTCTAGTAATAAAGGTTGCATGATTGTATTACCTTATTTTATACAAAATAAAAATAAATAAAACTTTTCATGCAAAATAAAAAATAAATAAAGCCAACCTAACTTATTATTAAATTAATATAATAATAAATCAATTTTGTTTTAATGTCTAATTAAACATAAAATAATGCACCATTTAATTAAAATCAAATATATACATACCCACGTATGAAGATACGTAGTTACTTTTCTCTGAAGAATTAGTTGATTGTGGTACATGGTGTATTGTGACACGGGTGTCAGGACCTTCGTAAGTATTTGTACTTCCTTGTCCGCATCCAGAACTAGTATCTAATGAACCCTGTGAAGATTTTTCCATAGATTTTAATTCCATTTGGTCATGATGTATCCAAAGATCTGGTGGTTTAATACTAGGTGACTGAGCTCCTTTCAAATTTTTACCAGTTGAGCCTTTAATATATCTGTTATAAAAGTATAAATATACATTAATATTTAGTTATAGATTTACAGATTATATGAATGAATATTTTTAGAAAAAAATCTAATTATCATATGACCAATATAAATGTTTAATCAAAATAGCTGAAACACCTTAATTTCTCATATACTATATATAATGATAACTCAATAAGCATCAGTTTCAACTGATATATAATTGATTGTAAATTCATTAGTCATTTCGAAAAGGCTCTCTATATGAAATTAAAATTGTCAGAAAACGTAAAAAACTGTTTTTTTAGATTAAAATTAAATTTAGATAAAAATTTAAAAAGGGTTGAATCATTTATTTATGATGGTCTCATAGGAAATATGCATTATTATTAGTTAAGCACTATCACATAAAACTAATTTTGAAAATGTGTGGAGAAATGACCTTTTCGAAATGACCAATTCAATTAATACTGCTAACATAAATATAACACTGGATTAAATACATTTTTATAAGATATTTACCCTTTTTTACTGCGACCTCTTAAAGGTTTGTTGTCTTTACAACATAATAAAACAATTCCAATACTAATACATGATATAAGTAACAAACAACAGGCAATTAATATGTATAAAATGGTAGTGTTATTAATACCACTTTTTCCATCTGTTAATTTAAAACACAAAATTGAAATCAAACAATCATATAACTTAAAACAATAAAGTTTTTTTTTTCAATTACAATACCTTTAAGTGATGTTCCATCATTGTAAGGAAGCCCTCCTAAGATAAATGTTAAAAAGTGAATTAAAACATTTTGATGATAACAAAAAACTAAATAAAAATGTACACTAATTAAAATAATACCTGGCATTGTCTTAATACTAGTAAATGGACTAAATGGACCATAACCAGCAGCATTTTTAGCTTGAATTTTGAAATAATAATTTGTATTAGGAGTAAGCCCTTTAACTGTGAATGACATAAGTTCCCCTTCAACTATCTCAGACACCCAATCATTATCTGAACTTGAATTATCAGTTGTATATAATATTTGATATGCTAGAGGACAAAAATTTAAATATGAGTCATTCCAATTAAACTCCTTGAATTACTTACTAATAATTTGTCCATTAGAAAATTTTGGTGGTTGCCAATTTAGTGTTACATGTTGAGGTTTGTCATCACTTCTAACAGCAGTTAAATCTCTTGGAGGTGATGCAGGTTTAGCTTCTTGTGTAGTATTTATTTCAATCATACTCCATGCGCTTTCATATTGGCCCTACAATAAAATAATAAATTACAATTTATAATTATTTGTACTCAAAATACTCAGGTTATTATAATCAGTTAAAAATGCACCTTGATCAATTTAACTGTAAATTCATATTGAGTATTAGGTTTCAAATCATCTATAATGCAGACAAGTTCAGTGGTATTGATATATTTATATCGTGCATTGTTAGGTGAATAAGCGTTGTACCGTACAACATAAAGACGTTCTTCTTCAATATTCAACTACAATAAAGATGATATAGTTAATAAATTATAAACCAATTATTCAAAAAATGTTCATGACTTACATCTTCTTCTGAAGTTTTATCTGACCATGCTACCTCAATAGCATAAGGTGAAATAACATTAGTTTTTAATCCAATTGGAGGTAATAGTGGGTTAGATGTCTCCAAGGTGTTCAAAATATTTTGTTCTCGTATGATTGCTGTGTGATACACAAGGGGACTAACGCCCATTTCATTGACAGCAGCAAGACTTAATATATAATCCGCATTTTGTTCTGAAATAATATTTATATAAAATTTAATAAATAAAAAATGTAAAATATATTAATATTAATAAATATATTTACCTAAATTCTTAATTTCATATTTTCGTATTTTAGAATTTAATTTTTCAACATAAGTATCTGGAACACCTTTACCCCATGCTAGTATATACTCTCTAACGAGTATGCTTTTGTCTTTAGGAGGAGACCATGTAACCAACAGTGAATTTGAAAAAGCACGAACTATTTAAGAAAAAAATTGTAATTAAAAAAAATTATTACAAAAATATATTTCAAACTAACCTTTAAAATTGGTAGGTGCATCAGGGATAGTGTTTTCTTTAAGGTTGTTCTCAAATGTAAATGCAGTGATCCACTCTGATGGTGGACTGAGCCCAACAGTGTTTAAAGTCCATAATCGAATTTGATAAACCTATAAATCAAAATGCGGTATTTTATTTTGTATAATATATATTAATAATTAATGATTATTTGACTATTTACATTAATATTTATATTTTATTTACCAAATAAAAACTATAATATACAATTCACAAAGAAATTACAATTACATAATCATGAAATATATTCAATTTTACTTACAGAACTTTTGTCCAAGTTTGGAATCGTATACTCTGTTTGATCACCAGCAGTTGTCATACTTTCTCCTGAATTTTTTTTATCTTGTTTTTTGTACCGAATTTTGTAACCTGTTATAATTCCATTTTGACTAGATATTGGTGGTGGATCCCATCTAATACCGATAGCCTAAAATACATGAAAATATAAGAATAAAACATTTATACCTAACTATATATATATATATATATATATATATAATAAAAATTAATTATATACCGTAGGAGAAATTGCTTCAGCAACAATATTTTGGGGTGGTTGAGTTGGAGCCGAAGGTTTGGTAATAACAATAACTTCTTCAGAGTTCAATCCAGGTCCATTTTGATTATATGCGACTATCCAAATCTTATATTTCGTATAGGGGTTCAAATTGACAATTTCATGTTCAGTGTGTTTTGTAACAAGATACATTTCTTCAGATGTTGACTCCTAGAATTAATTTGTAATTGTAATAAATAAGAAAAATATATTCTTAATACATATAAATTAATGATAAAAAAATGTAATACCTTCATATAAAATAATTTGTATTCTTTTAAAGTTTCACTACCATGTTCTGGTCTAGACCAAGAAACTATTATTGATGAAGATGAAGTTGCTTTCGCAGTTACATTTATAGGTATTCCAGGTAAATTAATTTCAGCTTTAGTCATAACTTTTAAACGAGGCGAACTTTCACCTATACCATATTCATTTACTGCTATTACTCTAAATAGATAATGCTTATCTGGTATTAACCCAGTTATAGTAATTTCTGTTAAGGATGTATTTGTCATTCGTTCTCTAAAACAAGAAAATTAATTTGTAAAAAAATAATCATTAAATATAAAACACAAAATTAACCTGTCTGATCCTTCTTGTTGATAAAATATTGTATAGGTTAATATATCGCCATTGGGTTTTAGAGGATTTATCCATGTTAAAGTTGCTAATCTAGATGACACAAGTTTTACTTCTAATGCTCTTGGTGGTGAAGGCAGATTGTTTTTTAAGTCCTTCGGTTTTTCAGCTGCAGATAATGAGGTGATGATATCAGTACTAATATTTGTAGAACTGTTTGAACTAGGTAAAGAGTCTGTTTATAAAGCAAAAACCACAAAACGCAAACAAAAATAAATAAATGACTACAAAAAAATCAAGCAAAATAATAATAATAAATAATAATAAGAAAAAATATTTAAATAATATTGAATTTATTTATTTTTAGTTTCTTTGTAATAGTTCAAGATTTATCAAAAATAATTTATTATTTTATATTCTTGCAGTTATTTTATTTGTACAATTTATATTAATATGTTGAATAAAAATGAAATACTATTATTTTGTTAAATCAAATAAGCAACAGAAAAAAATATAACCATCAGAATTTACAATTTATACTAAAATTTTATCAAAAAATATTCATAGTACATTTAACTTACATAAAATGTAATAAATTTTGATTTTTACATTAATACAAAATATCAACTTGATAAAAATAAAAATGTATAGAATTTATTTAACACTATTTAAAAATTGATATGTATTTTTACTTCTTTAAAATATTAGCTTAATTGCTGTTTTACAATTCTTAATAGAACTATAATAAAAAATAAGTGATATTTTAATTTTCATATTATTTTTTTACTTAAATTTCATTTAAAAGCTTACAAAATACTTATAATACCGTTTATAAATAACCATATTCTATAAAATATAATAATAATGAATTATTTAATATATTAATTTAATAGCTAACATGAAATATGCAAGTTGAATATTAATAGAATGAACACTAAACAATACATTTTTATTACAATTTAAAAAATACTATTTACAGTAGTTGCAATAATCATTCAACTATATGAAATTCTTAATAATTTAAATCATATTTTGGGTATCTCTAAATTTATTTCAATATTAAATTATCTAGACAATTCGGGCTTTTATATCAAGAATCAATTATAATAATAACATCATAGATATTTATGACTATATTATAACTATATTAATATTTTATTTATTTCTTACATTTTATATGGCTATTTATAAATGTATTTAATTCTATAAAATGAAATTGAAACAAGATGATCCAATTTTTTGAATATTTTTAGTTATTATTTCTAGTTTCTACAAAGTATCATGTTTAAAAATGTAAAAGATCAAGACTTATGCATTATTAGTTTTGTTTCAATATATTTATAGGGAATTCAATAATAATTTACTACTCTAAATAAAAATAATAAAAACAGTAGCAGAAGCAATTAAATTAAATAATTTTTAGTAAATCAACTATTTTTTTTTGTGTAATACGAATATAAGTAACATGATACTGTTATAATTTATTGTTTGTTTAAAACTTATAAACAAACAAAAAATGTAGTATTGTATACATTACGAGCAAAGCATAAGTGTACCTTATCCGGTCATTGTACACAATGCCCAATTATATTTGGACATTGATTAAATATTGAAAATACAAAAAATAATATAACATCCTTCTAGGTACTTTAAAAATCATAAAAAACTTGAAATAGACATTTTGAATATTAGTAATATTAATTATTATATTAATGATTATTAATAGTATTTAAATAAGTTTAAACAGTCATGTACTAGCTATTGAAGAATTGATATAATTAATTAAAGGTAATTTGAGATTAATAAAATAAATACTATTTAATATTATATAAATAGTTATTTTAATTAACCACTTCTAAAAAGTATTATTAGGTACACAAAATTATATTGTGTTTTTATTTATTGTTATTATTTATACCACTATTATGTTACTACTAAGTCGACCAGATTTTTAGATTCTGGTGAGTATATGATAGTTTTGAGTGTTTAAAAACTAATTCTTTCATTGGGCATAATATTTAACATAATTAAATATGTAACATTGTGCACTGTGCCCGAGAATTGTACCACAATGCCTGGATTTTCTACTTTGCCCGTAACATATATATATATATTAATAATGAACTCAAATCACTCTAACTAGAAACAAGCATTAATATTTGAGTCAATAATATTTCATTGAAACTAATCACTAATCAAAAAATTATATTTTAAATACAAATACAAGCAATATTTATTTTTAAAAATAGACTATTTATTAATTACCTGCATGGAAAACATTTAAAAATGCTGATGACTGGATATTCCCAGCAGGATTAGAAGCTAGACACTGAAACATTCCAGAATCCATTGTCATCAATCCCAATATTTTTAAATTTGTCCTGAAAAAGGTTTTTTACAAAATAAGTTATTTTACATAAGTGTATATTATGAGATTTTATCATCATATTCTGTTTAATTTGTCTCTAATATTTAGAGTTTTTAAAATAACTTGTTTATGAATGTAAAAATTCAACATATTAAAAAATACATAAGTAATTTAAATTCTCAAAGGATAATATAATTTTATAGTAATTACTCACCCACTAACAAATTGCAAGTATTCATCTTGTTTAATTCTATCACCATTTTTTAACCAAACAACTCGTGGGGGAGGTTTACCAGTCACTTCACATTCTAAAGTTATATCTTCTTTTTCAAGAACCATTGTGTCTTTAGGTTTTCGAATAAATTGTGGTTTAACTGAAATTATAAATAATTTATACTTAATAACTAATTATAATATTAAACTTGTATTAATTTTAACACAAATTTCGGTAATTAAATTACCACATATAAAATAATAATCTGTTAAGTTTAAAATTAAATTATAAAATATCCATATATATTTTAAAACCAACTAATCAATTTTTAAAATAGTTTTAATTATTAATTTTAATTAATTATTAACTATATAGATATCAACAAACCCTTATACATAATATGCATAATATTATTTAAAATGTTTATATAGATGGATCGATATTAATAGTACAGTACACCTCGTTGTCCGCGGAGGTTGCTTATAATTAACTATTAATTAAGTCAAAGACCTTAAATATATCTTTTATATACATACACACAGTAACTTTCTTATTTACAGAATTTAATTTTAGCCTATGATTTTCCTACTTATTATCATATGTTAGATTTAAACAAAACCTCTTACATAAAGTGTGTACTGATAACTTCGGTGGATGTAAATCAATCGTTTTCTATATATAAAAACATTCTGTCAGATAATAGAGACAGTTTCACTACTGCAAATCTTACAAAATATATGGTAGTTAATTATTTTTTTTGATAAAATTTTTTTTTCAGTCTTATAACTAATTTATGTTAATTTTTGGTCATGCACTTTTTTTTTCTTTTTTTAATACAATTTTTTTTTTTTTTTTTGTTATTTATTATGCTTTGAAATCCGAACCCCAGTTATTAAACAAATATTTACTTACTATGAACTTCTAATGTAGCAGAAGCATCAGCAGAATCTTCAGAATTCTCTGCTCGACAAACATAATTTCCATCATCATTTTTATTGATTTGGGTTATTTGTAAACCAGTACCAATCAAACTAAATCGACTATCAAGGTATCTAAAAAAATGATTTATAAATTATTAATAATTGTAAATTTCTAAGTTATACATCAATTCAACTTATTTATTATGCTAAAATTATTTATCCGTGTTTTATATATATATATATATCAGTTAGGGTAGATTTCCAATAAATACTAAACTCAATTTTTTTTATCTATTATAGAAATTTTAAGATCTAAGAAATTAAATTAATTATTTATTAGTATCTGGAGTGTAAATTGAATATTTTTATTTATTTTGTTTAAATATTTAACTAAATTTTCTGCTTGTCTATTTAAACCTCTGAATAAAATTAAAAGAGGGTCATTAACATATCTATAATATGCTTTTATAAATGGTTTGTACATTTTTTTTATTAATAATATTATTGTTTTCATAAATTTGCATGTAAATTTCAAATAAAAGAGCACTTTAAGGTCCACACATAACTAACCATTCTTTTTGAGAATATAATTTATTATTACATTGAAAATAGTTTTAATAAATGATTATATTTATTGATAGAATAATCTCTAGTATTTTTTTTTTTGTATTGAATTTTTTATTGTGTATAAATTTTTAATGTTAAGAGAAATCATTTTATATTCTAGTTCAATATTAATTTTTTTAAATTTTTTCAATGATATCATAAGTGTCTTTGATAGAAACATACTGATATGTTTATTTTATTATTATGAGTGAGTCCAAATATCTATTAAGGTATATATATGATGGAGCAGTTTCAAAGTTAATTAATGTACAAATTGAATTATTTTATTTATGTAATTTTATGAATAGATGTAAATATGGGGCCATAATTTTATAATCATATTTCAATAAAATTTTCTATTGTAATTTAGGTATAATTTCTTTCAAATTTATTATCAGTTTATTAATTTGATTTAAAAAATATCTTTTATCAATACATTTTAGATAATAATATCAAATAATGAATATAAATAGAAAAAATTCTTTATTTATTATTATTTAATATTTATATATTTATTTACAAGTATTAATCATTCAATAATTTTTAATTTTTATTACATTTTTTTTTATAAAAATAAAAATCTCAGCTATAAATTAAATTACACTTAATTTCATAAACTGCAAGACTATAATGTATGTAAATATATAAATAACTTGATCGATTAATACTTACGCCACATCAATTAGAGCACCATCTTTTAACCAAGATATTGCTGGTTTAGGATTTCCAATGGCTGCACAATCTAGAGTTATAACTGATCCTTCCAAAGCAATAGTTGAATGAGGTTTGGCAACAAATTCTGGGGCTTTTAACTTTTTAATATTATCTGCACAATTTTATATTAATGTTAATAAATAATTAAATTTAAAATTATTTATATAAATTAAATACAATAAAATAGCTCAATAACCTTTGTTCTCATCAATTGTTAAAATTCCAGGGTCACTCAATCTATGTCTATCTAATCCAGTAACATTACACCTATAGGCACCGCTATCACCTTTTTGGACATCGTCAATTTCTAACGCTCCTACATAACATATAAATTAAAAAAGAATAATTTTTACATTCTTGTTTAAACTAAATTAATATAGATCTTACCTGATGGAAAAATAGTCATACGAGCATCTATTATTAATGGTGAATGGTCTTTAAGCCAAGTTATTTTAGGTGGAGGTTGTGAATTAATAATGCAAGAAAAATGAGCAGTTTGCCCAGGGAAAAGTTTTAAATTTGTTGGTTGTTTCTCAAATGGTGACAAACCTGTTTAAATAATTTAAAATAAAGAAAAAAAATATTTATAATTTTAGATAAAGAAAAAATATTTATAATTTAAAAAAATAAAACATACGTGCAAGAGTTATAGTTGCTATACGACTGACAGCTGAACCAATGTTATCAACAAATGCCACACATTGATATGCTTCAAAGCCTTCAGATATGTCTTTTTCATGATCATTAAACACATTTTTTATCAGCAAAGATCCATTTTGTAAAATAGATCTATAATAATGTTATTACTAAATTAAACGACTAATAACTAAATTTTACAAAAATAAAAAATAAAATAACATAATTGAAAATATAATTTTATCACCACACTATTATTATGAGTGTGCGTAAGTCTTTTAAGTGAATTAATTAGACAATCATCATTCAAGGGGTATCATTAAGAAAGCATAGAAATTTATCTATATTTAGTATATTGCCCTTTTTTATGCTGTTGTGCAAATATTGTTGTGATTTTTTGTAATTTGTAAAATAACATAAAATTATGACTATTCAAACATTGAAGACTCAAAAAGGAAAGATATAATTATAAAAAATGGCTATCTTTTGGACTTTTTAAATGGATGTGTAATACAAGTAAATATTTTAAAAAACATAAATCATAGACTTTTGATCTCAGAAAATTTGCTTACAAAAAGTAACATAGCTGAAGAATATCATAATTGTTATAAGTTAATATTTAATCAATATTGCCCAAGCACATGGAATTTGTAATAAGTACCATTAAAAAAAAAAAAAAGAAGAAAATATAATTGAGGTCTAGATTGAATAATATTTGGCTGGCAAATGGCTGACTGAAAAAAAACCAAAATAAAGCCCAATATTTTCAACAAATTTGTAATGATTTTGAAAATAGATCTTTCCAATAGCAGTTAAAATATTTCCACAAAAGTTAATATTTCTGCTAAATATAATATAATTTTGCATTAGTATAGGAAATAAATTTCTATTTTGATAATTTTATGTCCAATCAATTGATTCACAATGAACTTATAATGTATATAAATTATTATACCCTATATTTTATTGTTTTAGATAAGTCACAAAAAACATGCAATTACAAGTTATAAAAATTGCATTCTATAAATAAAAAGAGAGTTAAAGTAACTTTCATCAGATGATTCATCTAATGGAGAAATTATTTTAAATGTAATAATGAGATTCCCAAGACCTAGAGTGGTTTGTGAAAGATTTAATCCTATGAACAATTTGAACAATTTTGAAAATCATAAATATAAATGTCGTTTTAGGTAAGTACCAATTATTATATCAACTTGAATTGTACCATTTATTTAATAACCATTATACTGGTCATAATCAGAGTATAAAAGAATAACTTGGGCAACACTCTTAAATCTTACTTGTGTTAATTTAATAGTTAGTTTATTATTAGATAACAATTTATTGATAAATAATGATAAGTTTGGTGCAACCCGGCATTACAGATTTCAATTTTAAAAATTTAAAAAATGACATCTTATATTTGTGAGCAGAATAAAACTATTGCAACGGTATTTACAATATGTCATATAACATATTATAAAAATCATCAACAATAACATTAAAATGTCACTTTAACATTCATTATATTATTACTTATTACAAGGGCATGGATGTTGTTGTATTTTCAACTTTTCTTCTACTGCACCAATTTATTGCTAAGTAAGTTTTAAATGTATTTTGTGTATACTTCTTTTTAAAAGAGAACATACCGTTTGCACGACTAGTTTTGGTTCGGCGGCGCGCATCCCCCACCAGTTGTCCAATGCTTCTACCTAAGCAACGTCTGTCACGACGAGCGCGCTCCGCTATACACCCAGTGCATTCCTATATAAATGAACATGCTACATCGCCGCGCCTGTCAGATATCAATTGTAAATAAGTTATTGGAATTAGGTGTATACTCGTCTGCAAACTTTGATAGGCGACCGTTGTGTGCGATCGATGTCTCGCTTTAATGAAAGTGGGAGAAATTGACCTCGGGACGGTTGACAGCCATCGGTCTACATTCGCGAAAGCGGTATGTTTTCTTTTGAAAAGAGATATAGATATAAATGAAAACTTAAACATTTAAAAAGCAATTTTTTGCAACTTTTGACATTTTTTTAATTTTAGTTATTTTACTAATTTATAAAAACTATTTTGACTATTTTTTTTAAAAATGTTCACATAATTTTACTTTTATAATACCTTTTAAACAGTTTTATAAAAATTCCATGAAATAAAATTGTTTTAAGCCTGAAGTATATAATGTATTAATGTATATTGTTTAAATATCTTATTGTCTATTGATATTACTGTATGTATAGTCGAATAAAACGATAGTTTGATTATTTTTAAAACCTATCGGTTTCATCATACTACGATTATCGGATTCATTGTGTTTACAATACATACAGATAAGATTATATATTGAACACAAAAATATTAAAAAGTTCATTTAAGTTATTAAAAAAAATACTGTATTTGAAACCATAAATACAATAAATGATTTAACTGACTGGAGAAAGAAAACTGTTAGATGGTTAACCCGAAGACTTGATGGTAAGTGATTTAGTATATTTTAAGGTGGCTCCACTCACATCAACCGACATAGAACGAAGTTATTTTAAGTATAACAATTTACTGGCTTCAAACCGAAGAACATTGGATTTTGAAAATTTAAAATAATTGCTTAAGGCTTGCTTTTTAGTACTACAACATCCATGCCTATATATATAATAATTCCATGTGTCATAATGTATAAAAATTATATATTTTTTTTACCTGTGTATTATTTAATTAAATTTATTTATTTAATAAATATGTATAATAATTTTCATATATTAAAATCAAAAACAACAAGTACAAAAAGTCAATGATATAAATTACATCCAATTTCAATACTCTCCCCCCTAGTCCTACAGTTGGCCAATTGATTTCAAACAGCCAGTTAGAATAATTTTTAAACTGTTTACTTTTGACACATTTAAGATGTATATAAAGTGAATATTATTACTTAATTATTTTTATACAAATGAGTACTACTTTGGAATTTTTATAATTTATTGCAGAAAAAATTTAGAAGATTGTAAAATGGGTTGACTGAAAAATCATGTAATTATTAATTGATTACCTTCTTGTATCTCCAATAAAATCAAAATATTGTCCATCTGGAAACCTCCATCTTATTTGTGGCAATGTTGCAACACTATCAAATTTAGCTTCGCAATCTAGCCTTATGGTTTTCCCAGCAATTGTTATGACATCACTAGGTTCAGTAATAAATCTTACACTGCCTGTAATCAAACAATCACGCACACAAATATTAGCTTTTTAGAAACACTGAAGAATATTAAAAAAAATGAATTTATTAAATTTAAGCTATTGTTGAATATCTGCATTAAATATAGATATGCACTATTCAATTATAAAAATACAATAAAATGGAAAGTAACTCACATTTCATGAACTATTAAGTAACTTGCAAAAGGATAAAATTTCATATTAAAATCATTACTTAAAAATACCTTTAAATATTATCAGTACTATTATTTTTATTATTGTACGAACATTAACTAATGATTTAAACAAATATCTAATTAGTTAATCTAACATTTTGTATTTAATTGTCAATTGATTTTCAATAACAATCAATAATTTTTTTTTTACTTAGGACTACATTTTATTATCTAATTTTAAATACTGTTATTCTTATTCAATTAATTCAAATAATAATTTTTATGTAATTTAATGTAATTGTTATCCTGTTTCCGTTATCTAATTTATAATATGTTTATCATAATACTATGTAATTTTTGTATTATAATACTGTTATACCGTATGACATATATTCTAATAATAATAATAATAATTGTAATTAAAAAAACAATATTTATAATCATTATTAAATTATTTATTGCACTATATCTGGACTATAGTATAATAGATAAATTATATAATTAGTAAATGTACAACAAATAAACAATTAAACAAAACATACATTTTGATATAACACTGATATTTAGAATGGAAAACAATATTATGAATTATATTAATCAAGATAGTCGGCAGTGTTATGATAATGAAATTGAAGAAGAATAATAATCCAACAAATATCAGCCGACAATGTATAAAATTTTCTCGTGAGTCTATAGTGATGTTTTGTATAAAACAGTGGTATAAAACTGTATTATACAAGGTATTACAGACGGTATACAAAAATTAAATTAAGGCGTTATTTTTAGTTGGTATCACAAGTAAAGATATAAATTATTATCATTTATTATTGTAACTTGTTTATTTCAGGTGTATTAATTCTTAAAATATTCATAGGTGTATAATTTTATCCTTAGTGAATTTATCAAACTGTGTATTGTTATTGACGTTATTGTAAATTCAGATGTTCAGATATTCTAATATTAATTATATTATCATATGATTCTAGATTAATAAATATTAAATAATAATCACTATTAATTCGGTAATGTCTTCTTGGCTCTTATGATTGCTAACTACCTAGGTTCTTGTTTTTATAGCCTTAACTTTTAATGGTATCTACATTAGAATTGCAAATTGGTAACAAAATATTGATTTAATTGAATTTGACTAAATATTAATTTGATGAATTAGGTTTAAAATAATTTTTGTATAGTGTTTTTAGATTTTTTCTACCTTTCTAACAATTTCTTTCAATTAATTCATTTTAAAGTAATTGATAATTGATAATTAATAATGGGGTTATAATCTTTCTTTGATTTCCTATAATTTAAGGTACTGCAAGGATTTATACGGTATTATAAAAAAAAATTAAATAAAATACCATAGGTATTTTAATATCTCTATGAGTATACGTGCGACTTAAACGCTGAGTTTGAAAACACTGTAGTGTTATCGTATAAACGATCAACTGTTTTCAATAATGTCCAGGGGTCGCTCAAACAATAGAACGTATGGCTACAAACTTATAAATTCGTGCTATAGCATACCAAAACGATGATGAACATCGTAGGTTACAAAAAATCGGTCCAACTTACTTCGCACGGATCCTGTCACCAGCAGCAGTAGCAGCAGCAGCAACGTCAGACGAGAACCAAAGAACAAGATTTTCCACTGAACGGCACTCGGGTACATGGCGATAACGGAATCGGCGTGCCCGGTACGTCACGGGTTTGGCGACATGGCCGAGTAGGACTGTTGTGCACGCGTCGCGGAGGGAATGCGTCGTCGACGGACAGGAAACCACCGGGAACCTTAATCGTCTGTTGTTGTTATAAAATTCTAAAATTGTTACGTTCGCGGCAGTTATTGCGGTTCGCGATCTACGTTTTGTTTGTTGTCGTCGGCACAGGACGGGACGGAGGATCAGCGATTGTGATTGATAAACCCGGATAGGGGTACGGGACTCGAGGGCGGTAGTAGTGGTGGTGATCGCTCGTAAACGCGACGCACGCACGACGATTGGCCGACGCTAGTGGTGCGCCCGGCGGGCCTCGAGATAACGGCGGCGACGGCGGCGGCGCCACCTGGTCCGACCGTCACAACTTCACATGAAACACGACGCGACCTCTTCGCCGCCGCGTCGACCCCTCCACGACGTCGACCTATTCGCCGCGCCGACGTGACCCGCGTCTATGCGACGAGTACCGATTGTTGTCGTCGCCGTCGTCAACACACCCTTCACCGCCGCTGCACGTCGACGACGCGACGGGACACAGTGGAATGAAATCAATTCTGACGCGCCAAAATTCAAAAATAAAAATTGTTTATTTGTTACATAATATGTAATATTATTATTGATAATACAAAATCATTATTGTGGTCCCCAAAATGTTTATCTCATCGTAATAATACAGTTTTGATTCCAATTAAAATTGCATGGTACGTACGTAACCCGCAACCGATGTAATAATTATCGAATAACCGATGTCGAATTAAAAATCGTAAAATACGTTTATTTATCGTTTTGATATTCACCGTGTAGGTAAAAGCTGTTGATCTGACAGTTTTTAAAATTTTAGTGAGTTACTTCATTGGATCGTTATTCATTGTTTCATCAACATGGACGATAATAATATAATAATATATCAGGTAAAATTTTAAACTAAACTTTACACATATCATTAAAACAACTAGAAAAATAAAGCATTAGGAAATGTATGCACTGCGTCAAAAATAAAATGTGCTGTAAAATTTAAAAACTTATAAAAGTGAAAAAAAAAGTTGTGGTTTGTTTGGCAGAAGACACATTATTTTTTATTCTGGATAATAAACAAACAGCAATATACTGATATATGGCCCAGATTATAGTAGTTCAAGTTTACAAAGTCGATTTCCCTTAAAATAATTATTTTTTTCATAAATGCAAATTAATTCACTGTAATAATAATTTCGACGTGCTAGAATTGATTTCATCCCAATGTGCGGGGCTCCGTAAAATAGTTTCGCTGAGATTTACGACGCCGACGTTTTCTTCCATTACGGTTGCACGTGCACGCGGCGGACCAGCATTATGCGACGCTAATGGGGAAACCTAAAATTAGCCCGTTCACTCACTGCACGGTTATAGTGGCGGAATAATGATCGAGGTTCACGGACACGGTTATTTCGGAAGCTCGATTACCTATATTCAGGACCGGCTCTAGACAAAATGTATACATAGGCAAAATCAAAATTTGCCGCCTTTTCGTTTTTGATCTCAAAAAAAATGTTTTTATTCAACTATAGACAATTAATTGATTACTCATATTGTTAAATTATGAGAATATTATTTTTTATTACATTTAAATAGTCCATGTTTTAATTAAAATTTAAGTAGGTACCTTAAAATAATAAATTTTCTTCACAACAATTTTACTCGTATAAGTGATATGATATTGAATCCAACATTTTTATTTTTTAAATAATTTACAGATAATAGTATTGAAAATGCGTTGGCTCTGCTAGTATCATCAGCGCATAGCCTGTGTCGCCGCGCCAAAAATAAATAATTTATATAATAAATAATGATTTAGTGGATTATTATTATCGACGTTCGACAAAAGTAATTTCGGAGAAAAATCAAATGTGTTATCTTCAGTTTAATTTTGGTGTATTTTATTTTGGTTAAACATTGCACATAAACTTGTATGACTTGTACGTCTCAACCAAAACTAAATCTAGTTAATTGCCAGATATATATCAGTTATTATTTTTATTGTTTAAAAATACACGTATATATAAATATTAAATAATTTCTTTTTTGCTCATCGGTGTTTCAAAAACGGTTTTCGGTTTTTGCGTTAGCTTAAGTAGCAACATATTATCCTAAATACGGCCCTGCCTACCATTAAGGAAATACCACCCCGGGCCTAGGTTTGTGTTGTTTGTGCCTTCCGCCGAGCCTGCATATACTTTATGAGCGTATCAGTCATTATAACATCTTATTTGACTCTTATTACAATTTCTATACGAAGTTATTTGATTTATTGATATTATAACACAAATATTTGTTTATTCTTATTTTAATATACACAATATTTTAAAAATTATCTATAATATAAAATTTTCAAATGCCGCCCTTGGCGTACGCCTATGTTGCCTACCCTTCGAGCCGGATCTGCCTATATTTATGATCCAATTGTCTAAACTCTGTGCTCTTTATTTGTATGCGATAAAACAAATTAATAAATATTCATAGTAAATAATTTACTATGAGTATTTAATAATTATTATTAATGTAATGAACTATCATTTAAACAACGGTCAGGGCTGGCTTTAGATACGATCAAAGCGTGCGACGGCACGGGGCACCAAAATCAGAAGGACGCGTGAGAGGCGTCGAAATTTGAACTAAATTTGATCAACCGTTGGCGACACAAATCATCTACTACGGATAGAAAAAAAAAATGTCACGATATGATTCAATATGAATTTGATTACTATTATAATTATCATTATTTATTATTCTATCGACATACAAGGATTTGCCACTCTTGTGGGTACAATTCCAGTTTTATAAACCATCGTTATAGTATTTCGAGTATTATTATATTTGTTCTCCGAACAATTTACAATTATGTGGCAAACATGCACGTTTGAATAATTATTTCCAGCGTTTACGATTACGAACGAGGCTCATAATATGTATAATGAGGTGCCTCTAGTTACCAAAAGTCCGCCGGTTTTATTTATACGTTTAAGTCGTTTAAGATTGCCAAAATAATTCTTGCACTAAGCGCTGAAAGAGCTAAAGCCGGCTCTGACAACGGTAATAATAATTTTGTATTTACGAAAAATGAAAATAAAAATCATATTTTTCTTCTAAGATCTTCACCGACCAACCACGCGATAAATTCAATTTTTTACCACACTTATTTTCTATGGAATTTATCGCAAGACCATTGAGCTGCATTTAGGACATGGTGTTTCTTAGATAATTTTTATTTAATTTTAGTTTCGAGAATGACTTTTCGGATGTAAGGAACAAAATTTTACATTTAATGTAAAATGCCAATGAATTTAACTAACCCATCATCGCTTGAATTTAAGGGTTAATTAGTTATACGAAACTTAAAATTTGAAATTATTTTCAAGCACTTTTCGCGCTGCAACACAAATCGTTCGGCTATAATAATTTCACTGATTATTTAATTAATTTAATTCACAACAGTCTTTATATACAAGTAACGCGATATTATTTTATTTATAAAATCAGTTACAGTCTGACTAGTCCTAACACATTTTAACAAAATTAATTAATTTTTTTTATGTATTTGTATTATTTAAACTGGCACTATTTATTTTAATGTAAGTGTCTGCCTGGACATCGTCAACCAAAATTATTAAACATATACTTACAGTTGGATGTGATTATATTATTATTATATATTTATTATATAAATCTTTGATTAAAAAGTAAATGAAACGATCACAATTATTTAAATAAATTATTAATAAAAATATTAAATAAATTATAGAATTTTAAAAAAAATGTGGTCCTGTGGTTTCAATAGAACATAGACAGTCCTAAGTCTGTTAAAACGGGAAAGAAAATGTTAGTATAATGTAGTACTTACCGAAAAATATTCAGGAACTAGTATAATACCTAAAATAATTCAGGACTCAACTAATGTAGTACCTATAAAAATCTGAGACCCAACTAGTGTAGTACCTATAAAAATCCGGGACCCAATTAGTACACTATCTGCGATTAGCCCCTAGTACTCGGGACCCAACTCGGATGCTCTGGTTTTGATTTTTAGATTTTTTAAACATGTTTAAAGTAACTCAAAAAAATAAATTTATATTTGTGCTATGAAAGCAACTAAATAAAACAATATAAATATATGTATAAGTATATAAAAAAAACAAGTTTAATCTAAGGTTTTGATTTTCATTTACTTACATTTGTTATTTTATTCTAATCACATGTATTCTTATTTTGTGTTAGCTTATACAATTGGCGAATCAACTGAATTATGTACTTACTTTTTTACAAAGTTCCAGGCAAAAAGGTAAGAAGTTTAAACTTAAAAATCTCCATACATTTTAAGTACTGTTTAATAATTATACAATTATAATAAAATTATTGTCTTCAACCCAAATGTATCCATATTAGGTATATTGTAATATTCTTAATGTAAAACGTAACACATTTTTTCAAATTCAATCAATACATTTGTTTTAAAATGTTTTAAACAGCACAAAAATGATGTTATGATTCTAATAGAAAGTTTTATTTTGTTGAGTAAAAAATTCTCTTGTCTTAATTATCAATGGCGTAGTAACCGGTGTTGTCAATTGGGCAAGCCCTAGAAATGTACGATATATGGGAGGGGGGGGTACCTTGGGAAGTAGGCCCGGGTCCCAAAACTAGGTACCAAAAACTTCCTACTTAGTTTATAGTACATCTAGAAGTAATAACCACCAAATAGTATTTATAATTATTTGATAAAACTATCGGCCAATATTATAGAGTTCATAGAAACATAGTTTAAGGAGAGCGCGTTATTTTTGTGAGGGTGAGTGGGTAGAGTAACTTTATATACCTGTGTCAGGATCCAAAACTTAATCACCACGCCACCGTTAACGATATCGGTTAAAATGACAATAAATCGATCCCCGTGTTATATATGTGTTATATATGATGTTATATACTGTATATGTACGCCGAGTTAATTGCCATTACTATACACACATGATACACATCAATGAAATTGTATAATACTAGAATTGAAGAATAGAATGCCAATCGTTTGTCAGGTGTTAGCAACGATTGTGTTAACTGTGATACAGTTTAATGTTATTAAACATGTTGCGTAAATAATATTATAGTGTCAAGTGTTATTGTTACTATTTATACAATGAGTAAAAGATGAAGAGTATTTTAACAATAGGTAGATACAGACACATATCCAGGAATTTTCTAGGGGAGGGGTTCAGCAAATTTAAACTTATTTACTAGTGGACAACAAACACTGTTTATTTTATGAAGCGGATATTTACTT